ACATGGGCCTGCCTCTCCAAAGCTCTGTTTTGTTCATCAAGTGGACAAGGCCTGCAGATACCAAAAGGGAGCTTCATTTTGGCCAGCAAACTGCCAGACAAGGCCTGCGCATACCAAAACAGCTGTGAAGGGGTGCACAGAGCCAAGAGGCTGGAGAGGAGACAGCTTACTAGATCCTCACATGGTAAGTGACCTGATGCGGCAGGTTGAGAGCCTGCAATCTCTCAATCTATTCCAGTGCTGTCAAACTTGATGTCATTGTTTGACCTTGGGGTGGTGGTGCCAGGATGGGCATGGCCAGTTCAACGTTGTCATTCATGTCGGGGGTGCCCGTGGTGTAGTGGTGGGTTCCGGATAGTAGGCCCTGGTACAGGCGTACCAGTGCCACCTGGGAGCAGTGGCCACTGTACCAGAACAGTGCTTTGGAGGGCCCATCCGCCTGCCCTCGTTCCTTACCTCTATTTGAGCTAACTGGGCCATTTGAGCACATGTGCATAGCATACAGTGCCTGTGTGATCTCCACTGAGCAGCTGGAGCATCGCATGGTGGTGAGTGTGCCTGTGTGTGCAGCGCGTGTGTCTGTGGTGGATCCCCAGTCCCGTTGCAGCTTACCGGATGTGACTTGATCCGGAACCCACCATTGCCATGGTGGCCTGAGCACTCTGGAAGAGAAAATGGGCTACCGAGTTCCGTTTTTGGCTGCAACATCAATCCTGCAACCCTCTGCTAGCAAAAATGGAACTCAAGAGGGCGGCTCTATTTTTGCTGGTAGAGCACTGTGGGCTGGTCCTTTGCTGTTTCTAGCGTGGCTCCATGTACCAGATCTAAGCACCCCGTGGGCCAAATTCAGCCCTCAGGCCTTGAATTTGACCCCCCTGATCTATTTTCATAATAGCAGCAGCCCCTGTTACTAATGCCTTATTTGATTGCATTTATCTCTTACGACTTGAGAGACATATTGCATGTGGGAAGAATATTTAATTTTATGTGGTCACTGAATAAGCATGTCCCTAATTCTCATTCCAATGAACTGAAAAGAAAGAAATGATGGGAATGATGGAGTGGGAGTAAGGGTGGAGCATGGACACTGTTAATAAGTAATTGTCCTGTGACTGACCAAATTTTTAATTAATACCTAGAACAGATACTACCTAGATATGTTAGCTTTTCCTATTTATTATTGTGAGCTGTAAGATAAACTTTGTACTCTAACCCAATTGCATAATTATTTGCCTGTTTTTGTTTTAAAAAAAGAAAGTTTCCCCCTGGCAGTCATGTTCAACTCTAGGGTGTGATGCTCATCTCCTATCCACAGAGGAAGAAGAACCAGCATTGACTGAGGAAGCCTTGGTGGTCATGTGGCTGGCATGATTATATGCCAAGGGCCCACAGAACACTTTTACTTTCCTACTGAAATGATACCTATTTATCTACTTTCATTTATATCAGAGGTGGTATTCAGCAGGTTCTGACCTGTTCTGGAGAACCAATAGTGGAAATTTTAAGTAGTTTGGAGAACTGATAAATACAACCTCCGACTGGCCCCATCCCAATCAATTCTCTGCCTTCTAAGTCCCAGCTGTTGGGAGGGAATGGGGATTTTGCAGTAACCTTCCCCTGGAGCGCAATTGGCAACTCCAAATCTCAACTAACAAATCCTCTGTCCTACACATTGGCAATAAAAATCAGAACACCAAATATAAGTTGGGCAGAAACGACCTCATAGATGATCCTCACTCTGTCAAGAACCTAGCAGTTTTCATCTCAAATGAGCTAAGCCCCAGAGCTCATTGTAACAGCATTGCCAAAAAGGCATTAACAGTTGGTAATCTAACTTTTCAAAGCTCCTTCTTTGTAGGAGTACAACATTGTTAGCAGTACAACATTGTCCTGCTAACTAGGGTATACAAAACCTTTGTCAGATCAATTCTCGAAGACAGCTCATCTGCCTGGAATTCACACTGTGTATTGGACATTAATATGATCGAACGGGTCCAGAGGTATTTCATGAGAAGAGTACACCACTCCTTTATTCACAATAAAATCCCTTATGCCACCAGGCTCGAAATTTTGGGCTTGGATAATCCGGAACTGCGACGCCTGCATTTGGACCTAAGCATAGCATAAAAAATTGTCTGCTACAACATCCTACTTGTCAATGACTACTTCAGCTTCAACCACAATAATACACAGGTGAACAATTGATGCAAACTGAAGATAAACAGCTCCGAGCTTGATTACAGAAAATACGACTTCAGCAAGAGAGTGGTCAACACCTGGAATAGTCTACCTGACTCTGTTGTTACATCCTCAAACCCACACAACTTCAACCTTAAACTGTCTACTGTGGACTTCACCCCATTCCTAAGAGGTCCATACAGGGGTTGCGCATAAGCGCACCAGCGCGTCTAATATCTGTCCTACTGTCCCCATTTATTTGTACTCATTTCCTTTGTTCATGTTCATGTTCATACTTATACCTGCTATGTTGTACATGTACATGTTGTAATAAACAAACAAACAAACAAACAATCTATTTCTATTTCTCTTTGTATTTTATATATATTGATAAAACAATAAACACAAAAATGCATTCTTTCTGCAAGATTATTTCCATATTCCTCTATAGCAGTCTAAATGGATGCAATGGCTGGCTCCAACCAGTTGTAAGCTATTCAACAAACCTTGGCTAAGTGTAATATGATATATTAATTATGAGAAAAAGCTTTTAAAAATTTCAAATACATGCTGTAGTGTGTAATCAGCTGCTCTGATTTCCTATGTCCTATATGTATAGTAAAGATTCCCCTCGCACACATGTGCTTGTTATTCCCGACTCTAGGGGGCGGTGCTCATCTCCTGGCATGACTAAACGCCAAAGGCACACAGAACGCTGTTACCTTCCCTCCAAAGGTGGTCTTTATTTTTCTACTTGCATTTTTTACGTGCTTTCGAACTGCTAGGTTGGCAGAAACTGGGACAAGTAATGGGAGTTCACTCCGTTATGCAGCACTAGGGATTTGAACCGCCAAACTGATGACCTTTCGATTGACAAGCGCAGCATCTTAGTCACTGAGCCACCGTACCCCTATATGTATATGTATAGAAAGGATGCTGGAGGTCTTCTAGTCCAGCCCCTGCTCAAACAGGAGACCCTTGGAAGGGACCTTGGAGGTCTTCTAGTCCAGCCCCTGCTCAAACAGGAGACCCTTGGAAGGGACCTTGGAGGTCTTCTAGTCCAGCCCCTGCTCAAACAGGAGAACCTCTACAGATAAGTACTAGTCCAGTCTTTTCTTAAAAACCTCCAGTGATGAAGTATCCATGATTTCTGAAGGCAAGCTATTCCACTGGCTAATTGCCCTCACTGTTAGGAATTTTTTCCTTAATTCAAGCTCTTTGATCAGTTTCCAACCATTGTTTCTTGACATGTCCTCTGGTGCTTTGTAGAATAATTAGACTGCCTCTTCTTTGTGGCAGCCATTCAAATACTGAAATACTGCTATCCTGTCATCTCTAATTCTTCTTTTCTTTAGACTAGCCAGACACAAAATCTGCAACCATTCTTCATATGGTTTAATATCCAGGTCTTTGATAATCTTAGTTGCTATTCTCTGAACTTTTTTCAGTGTCTCATCAAAATTATCTAACCTGGCATTTATATTGATGAGCAACTTGCCTTTGAGATTCAAGACCTCAGGGATTTTTTCTTCAGGATTCCTGCTAGAAATCTATTTGTCAGCAGAGATTAAGAACAGAACATATAATTTATTGTCATATTAGGTACAGTATGTGCTTTATTTTATGTACTTAAAAACATTGTAATTACATTTTAGAAGATAATTCATAAAACAATATAGGAACAACCTAGGTTATTTTTAATACTTCAACATATTTCTTATCTTGATTTGTATTTTGCTGAACAAATAAAATAAGTACAGTTAAATTGTCATAAATATTACAATATATATGAAAATAACTGAAATGGAAAACCTGTGATTTTAAAGCTGTAGTAGGAATAATTTTTGGTAAAGTTATGTCTGTACCTATATTATGTAGTATTTCAAAAAATATTTACTTGAGAGGAATTTCCATTGCTTTGGGGATCAGTTACTTATTATTCTTCATAAGCTATACTTTATTTAATAGCCTGTCACTAATTAAATAAGCCTCATAAATAATCCAGTGATACATATATCCAAGTTGCATACAAAGAGTACTTCTTTTCTGTTGCAGCCCAGGGTGTTTATTCAGTATAAATAAGAGTCAAGAGGTTGATCTGTGAGGACTCATTCTTCAAGTAGTCTGCCACGAAGAGAATTAGAAGGCGGGTTCCTAAAGTTGGAGGGAGTGCATTTACCTCTTTCCTAGAAGAAGGGGAGAGGATTCAGAGCAAATCATATGGACTACTACTAGTTAAAACTCAGATGGATTTCTAAATAGTTTGGTGAGTGCAACATTTTGTTCTTTCAAGTTTTCCATTCACTTTCTTTATTTAAAATTACATGGAGCAGCTATCTCAGGAGATCATTCATTAATAAAACTGCAAAGAGATGTTTGAAACTTAAAATAGACTGATTTAGTAATAAATAGGATTTTGTGGACAACCTGATGTATTCACCATCCATCTGTGCCTCTATTGGGAATGGAAGGAAAGGTATCTCCTCTAGTTTCTCAAAGAAAAGTATACCTTTGTTACCAAGGCATTTTAATGTTGCTGTGCTTTGAATATGTTAATAAAATGATGTTGAGGGTGAATGACCTCACCATGATGATAAGGAGATTATTAAATAAGTTTTCATAGAATGGCTATGCTTGACATGCATTGATAACTGTTTCTAGGATTGTGATTGTTATGAGAACAAGCCCTTTCAAATACTGATGCTCTTTTATAATTCAGAAAAGGAATCACTTTCTATGAAGGAACATGCAACAATGAACATGTTTATTAAAGCTCTGTGGTATTGTTGTTGTTTTTTGTATTTGAGAATCTGATCCTTTCTTGAGACTTCCAGAGAAAACAAGGTAAGGTAGAGAAAAGGAAGAAGAATAAGCAATAGCTTTTGCAGGTAAGAGGAAGAATAATTATCTAAAATAATTTATTAATAGTTATTTAAACAGGATGTAATAATTGCCTCAGACTTTGTATCTCTAAAATTATAGGAAAAGAAATAACAAGCAGGATGTTGAAGAAAGGTATAAAAGGCATACAACATTCCACAGATCTGCCTGAATACAAAATCTAATCCAAGAATAAATTTTGTTCCAAATATAGAAAGGAAAAGGGATATCACTGTAAGATGACTGTATAATCTAGCAGCAAATAGGATATACAAATATGGGCTATAATACTGTCAAATGTATATTTATTACAATTGTAAACAACTATATTGAGAAATACAATATTCAAATTATTGTTTTTCATACAATCTCATACCATCTTCCATTCATTTCCCTTTCCCTTTTCCCTTTCTCTCTTTTGAAATATACACTGGTTTATACAAGTAAGTGGAAAACAAATTATTTTGTAACAATGATACAAGGGGTTTAATTTCTCATAATTATCATTTATAATTGAACAGCATATCAATTATGTATTTTGGGGATGTTATTCTTTTGTGATTATTTTGCTCCCATTTTTGTGAAATGCTTACAATTAATATATAAAGTGCACAACATGATTTGATATGCTTAATACCTTTGTTGTTTTAGATAAATTAGTATAATATGTTGATAAAAGTGATTAATTTACATAGTCACAAGACATCACTGGGAACCATATTTTTGCTTCACTGAACTATATTAGCACATTTGAATTAAATATTTGAAAAAAAATTGTTCAGTGGTAAAGTTAGGAATATTTTAAATAATAATTTTATTAAATATTAAAATTAAAAAAGATTAAAAATGCAAAAAAAGAACTTTATCTTTAAAGATGAATGTAGGGCAAACGTATTCCATACAGCATTTTTTAAAAATGCACATGGTTTGGGGGGATTCAATGATAGAATAAAATGAATTTTGGTAATGTGTACATTTGTTGCTGGGACAGAAGGCTTTTTATTTGTTTCAGTTCAGTTTAGGTGCTTCAGACTGAGCCAAGTAGCTCGTAATATAATTAACCATAGAAATACAACATGGAACAAAGCAAGATAAGATCTGATCATCTATATAAAATCACAGGTGGTATCCTGTTTTGTTCTGTGTTGGACAGTGGGGGCTGAGTGCAAAGGTCCTGTGGCAGAGTGCCACCCATACAACATGCCTTGCCTTGTACTGCGGCAGCGGCAGTAGCAGCAAGCAGAGGTGGTGGCAGAGGCACAGGGATGCCCATTCCGCGTCCAGCAGTTGCTGCAAGCATATTCCAGGCAGCTATGAACCAGGGGTGGGTTCCTACCAGTTCTAATCTCTTCTATAGAAGAGGTTCCACAAATCTACAGTGCTGTTTAGAACCGGTTCCAGCTCCCTCCCCCCGCCCGTCTGCACATCATCAAGATGAAGAGAGAGAGGAGGAATTCTGGGAGTTGAAGTCCACAAGTCTTAAAGCTGTCAAGTTTGAACACCCCTGGGGTTTTTTTCTAAAGGGTTAGGGGTGCAAGGGTCTTGTAACTTGACAGCTTTAAGACTTGCGTGCTTGAAATGCCAGAGTTTCTGAGCCAACATTTGGTTGCTAAGCAAGAGCGTTGTTAAGTGAGTTTCACCACATTTTACAAGTTGGCCATGCCCACCCAGTCACATGGCTGGCAAGCCACTCCCACCTGGTCACATGGCCGGCAAGCCACTCCCACAAAGCATGTTCTAAACATTTTTGAAACCCTGCTATGAACTTACCCGGTTTTCGGTCTCTCCCAAGCCACCAACAGGAAAGAACTTTCAGCAAGAGCAGCCTGGTGCAATTAAATGGTTTTAATTTACAAATGGAAAACCTGGTTAATAATACTAATACTATTTCTCCTTCTTCTCTTCTTTCTTGGTCTCTCTTCTTTCTTCTTCTTTTCCTTGTCATCTTTCATCTCCTTCTTACTCTCTTTCTTCTCCTGCTCCTCCTTCTTCTTGGCATCTCTGTTGGCAATCTTCTTGTTGGTGAGGTTGTGCAGCGCTACCACTGAACAGATCAGGTGAGGCAGGTGGCAGGGTGGGGGTGACACCATGCCATGGCCTCTGCATGCTTGGCTCCCATCATCCAATGTCATCCTCCAGCTCTGCCTCACACATGGCCTCTTGCGGCCACCCTCTCACTCCATCTCACTGTGTGTCTTTGCTTGCCCTGCAACATATCCAGTGGCCAGATCACGTGCCTCCCCCACAAGCTCTGCCTACTGCTTTCACAGTGCTTAGACTCATGTGCACTGTGCGGGCTGTGCAGACCCAGAGTGCTATCAGACTCTGCTGGTCCCCACGCACTCAGCACCTATGCCTCTTGTGCTGGCCACCCACCCACCCCAAGCTGACTCTCTTAATTGGGGCTTATTTTTGTAGTAGGACTTATGGAATGACAACTCAGAGGTGGGAGCCACCCAGATTTAAGGGGGGGGGGGACACATCTTACTTTAGAGGGCAGAAAATGTGACTCAAAGCACACTTCCCAAATCCTAATAGATGGCATCATTGAATTGAAGGAACCCAGAATGCTCCATGATGAAATAACTAAGGAACAAAAGATTTCATTTTTGAAATGTGAAGCAACTGATATGGTCCCACTGTGGGTAATACATAGAGCTAGTCCTTGAATTAAGACTACATTTGAGACCAGAATCTTTAGTCATTGAGTGAAGTGTTGTTAAAGGGAGCTGCCATGTGACTGCTTCACTCAACAACTGCAATCCTGGTACTCCCAGGTGCAGTTGTTAAGTTATCTCCTGATTATTAAGAAGAGGGAACCAGGGCTGAATCTCTCTGGAAGGCAGCTCTTTCATCCTCAAAGAGACTGGCTGAAAAAAGTGCATCCTGAAATCCAAGCAGGAAATTGGCAGGGAGTTTTGCAGAATGGGCATTTGCAGCTAGCCCCCAACATCAAGAATGGCCCCTCTCATTTCTGGGGAGTTATTGCAAATGTCCTGAAATCCAAGCAGGAGTTGTCATGCTTGCAGCTTGGGGTGTTTGCAGTTTGCAGTCACCTCCCATAGACAAGAGGATTCCTTCTCATTTCTTGGGGCTGGGTGGAAACATTCTATGCTACAAATACTCTTGGAGATAAAGACTGCATACAAGGACAATTTAATTTTTCACACTCCCTCTTTTATAAAATATATTAAATAATATTGTTAGAGTTGTCACTTGAGTGACAAGTGAGCAGGCTTCTCTTCTAAAATTCTATTTCTATTTAATTTTATTGTAATATTTGAGCTTACTGTGATATTTGAGTATTTGAGGGGCTGCCACAAAGAAGAGGGGATCAAATTATTCTCCAAAGCACCAGAGGCAGGACAAGAAACAATGGTTGGAAACCAATCAAAGAGAGAAGCAATCCCTGGAATTAAGGAGAAGCTTCTAACAGTGAGGACAATTAACCAGTGGAGCAACTTACCTTCAGAAATGGTGGGCGCTCAATCACTGGAGGTTTTTAAGAAGAGACTAGACAAGTGATGGTGAACATTTTTGGCACAGAATGCCAAAAAGGGAACAAGCATGCTCGTCTGGGACGCGACCCGGAAGAGGAGATGCTGAGAGGGCATACATGCACCAGAAAATGCATTGCCAGTTTCCAGCAGGCACATATGCACTAGTCAGCTAGACTTCCAGTTACTAGTGTGCATGCACACACGACTATCAGCTGGCCAGACATGACTATCAGCTGGCCGAAAAATGGAAGACCAGCTCTTCCAGTTTCTGGCACTGCTGCATGCATGAAGGCCAGGTGATAGTTGCGCATGCGTACATGCCAGAAACCCAGAAGAGGAACGGGCGATACTGAGCATGCCAGGAGACATGGCTTCATGTGCCACTTTGGGCACACATGCGATAGGTCTGCCATCACAGGACTAGACAGTCACTTATCTGAAATAGTATAGGTTCTCATGCTTGAAAAGACCTCCAAGGTCTCTTCCAGTTTCTGTTCTGTTCTGTTCTGTCCTGTCCTGTCTCATCCTGTTCCATCCCATCCCATCCTATCCCACCCATCCCATTCTATCCCATTCCAAATTATCACTATAGGTGAATGGTTAAACACCAATAAATAAGACCAGCAAGAATTTTCTTGAACTCACACCTTACATAAAACTATGGTTTATTTAATCATTGTTTAGTGAATAAATCATAATAGCTGGATTCATGCATCATGATAAGATAAAACCAGAGCAGCACACTGATTTACTATGATTTGTAAATCTAGGTTTTTATTAATTAAATTAATAATTAATTATTAGTTATAGTTAATTATTAATTAAAGAGAGCAGAACACGTCTGATTGGGCTGCCTCATCGTAAAAATAGTCATGAAGTAAATATTTTATGGAATTCAGTTAATTTAATCCACTGACATTGTATTCTAAGATTGGATACTATCTTTAATTATTTCAAAATTAGAACTATTCAATAAAATTAAACAGGCAACTGTGACCCGCAATTGTTTTGGTATTAAGGACTAAGCCCTTAAAAAAAAAAAGTCCAGTTGCCTTTTGGAAAAAGCGCCTTTGGATAGATAATAACTTGTTCAACCATAATACTAAGCCATGAATATTGTATAAATCCAAGCAATACTTTTGATACAGTCCCAGCTATACATTTATCATCACATCAATGCACAATAGATAGCTTTCCCCACTTTTGCACCCTCCATTTATATTGGACTATAGCCCTAATCCTTAACCATTATATATATATATATGTGTGTGTGTGCTCTTATAATAAATGTATTTGAACAATATGCACCAGTTTAGAAAAAATTAGTATAAACGAATAGTTAATGTAAACTTTACTGGCAGGAAAATTCTGGATTAGAATAGTATGATTTTTTTTAATGGAATAGATAATTGAAGGGTTTTCTTCTTCTTTTTTAAAGTATTTGCTCTGGAGGTGTGGTCAAGATGAATAATTGGAGCTACATTCTTATGGTTTCCATTTTAACTACTTGGTGTTGCACAGATGCTCAAACTACTGGTAATGTCATACTTTGATATTCAAGGAAATCAATTACAAAATATCCTTAGTTTTCAAAAGAAAATATGGTTCAGGAAATAGATAAAGTAATCCAAAGACTATAGAGCAATTATCATTGATTTGAATTCAGTCACAGTTTTTCCAAATGGGAAAACCCTCCATTTGCGAATGCTGCAATTTGGTAACTGTTTGCAAACTTAATTTGGAGCTTGGAAAATAAGGGAAAAGGGAGAAAAACTCAGATGTGAATGATCTTCAGTGCTCATCGATCCAGCTGTTCTGATGTTTACATAATTGTAATTTCTAGACAGTTTAAAATCCAATAACATTGTACCACCATTTTTGCTCTGTGGCGATAGGTTTATAATTCAGAAACATGGAAATACTAGTTGTGAAGCTGTTCTAGATACTCTCCTTCTACAGAACAACAAAGAAGAAGCAAATAGAAACCACTATTGTTCAAAATAAGTAGACTATTTTTGATATTTCAGCTTGGGGGAGGGTGGAGAAAGAAAGAAAATGTAATTGAATAGTATATACTTTGGGAAAAAAATGATTTTTGCAATAATAATTGGAGGATAATGATTCAATTGACATAGTACTCAGTATTCATCAGTAGGCAGACAGATCCTCCCTCCCAAAATCAAAAGTAGGATATAAAAGCCTCAGTTGGTCACATAATTTATATTGATTATGATTGCTATACAATTCCAAAAATTGGACTATTTTAACTAATGATTATGACATCCAGTAGTAGTGAATTAGCCTCAAATTAATTAATGCTAAGAATTGAAAATGAAATTATCATGTGTTTCTTCAGTCTGCAGAGAAGCTTCTGTCGCTGATATTGTGTTCATGGTGGATGGATCATGGAGTATAGGACCAAAAAACTTCAGAATCATACAAGACTTTCTCTACACATTGGTTAACAGTTTTGACATTGGAAAAGACAAAATTCAAGTTGGGATGATTCAGTATAGTGATAATCCTCGCAATGAGTTCTTGTTGAATTTTTTCCATCAGAAAAAGGACATTTTAAAGAAAATACAAAATCTAAACTACAAAGGTGGGGGCACCAAAACTGGAAAAAGTTTGAAGTTTATGCTAGATGAGCAGTTCAGTGAAATGGCTGGAAGTCGACACAGTGAAGGCATTCCCCAAATTGCAGTAGTGATAACAGATGGACAAAGTCAAGACAACTTTTCTGGGCCAGCAGAAGAAGTTAAGAATGCAGGCATCATACTTTATGCCATAGGCATCAAAGATGCTATTCTGTCTGAGCTTCAGGAAATTGCTAGTGATCCAGATGAAATGCATGTTTATGATGTGGAGGATTTTGCTGGCTTGCAAGGTATCTCTCAGAACATACTCCAAGTGTTATGTACTACTGTTGAGGAAGCCTCTCAAGACTTTATACATATTTCTCCAGGTAAATTAAAAAGGCTAACTGTTTTCTACATGAAAAATGCACTCCTACCCACCCACCCCCAATTTTATATATAACTGATAATAAAATCTAACTTGAATGACTTATGTAATTTGCAACTTCTTATCAAGTGGCAGACTTATGGTAGGAAATGGGAATCTGTTGTTCATCAAGTGCAAGTATAAAGCAGTCCCCCCTGTTCTCCCCCACACCCTAGTAAGTCTTTTCAGATATATTAACATTATACTGTAATCCTGTGAGAATTACCAGATGGGTATGTGGAATTCTCTGGGGATGGATGCACTAAAGACCAGTAAGGACATTTTTACTAAAATATTGAGTAGAGGAACAGGCTAAAATTGGTGTTCCAATTTCTCCAAATTTTTATTCTATTATGAAAAGAACTGTTTAGAAATCATTTTGAGTAAATTTTATTGATGTAAAGTGAATGACCACTGCCTCCTCCCTATCTCATTTTTTATTTCTTCTTTCTAGTGTTTACTCACAAGTGCAGGGTCTGCTTTTTCCCCCAATCAATACTTGCTTGTGACTGGAATTGACCAACCAGCTTGTTGCCTAAGACTGAGGTCATGGGCTGAGCAAGAATGATTAGTTGCAAGTCACACAGCTGGCTTTCATGGAACTAGAATTCATGGTCTTCCGATTTCTAGCCTGATGTCTTAACTTCTAGAGTCTAAACTGGCTCTCTCCTCCTTCCTTCCTTGTGTGATACAATAGGAACCACTTCCGCTACTCAGCCATCTCATAACATCAATAGGATAACTTTGTTCATTGTCAACTATTGTTTATTTTTAAAATGCATATGCTACCAATTCCCATTTTATGACTCTAAGCAGTTTACTTCTTAGGAGAAAACAAAGGGTCAAGAATTTGTTCTTTCATAGCAAAATCAAAATGAATGCTAACACACACAAACACACACACAGAGTCAACTGTACATTTTTATATTTATAGTATTGTGTTTCTTAGAATTCCCTAAGCAACTTGCTAAATTTAAGTTAGATAGCCATGTCTCCTTCTGGGGTTTCTAGATAACTCTTTCAGTATCAGTCCCAAAACATGTCCATTGAGAAAAATACAAATGCACTTTGTCTGGAATAATTTTATGGGACACTGATTTTATCTGAAATTTCATAAAATGTGAAAGGTCTACTGCAGGCTGCCAACTGAATGAGGTATGAATTGTCATTCTGTAGGAACTTGGTTGGTTTCCCAGGGCTGTCAAAGTTTAAGGTACATTTAATGGATAGAATTTCTTAGTATCACATCTAGTTAAGCAATAGTATCAGGGACAGAGGGAGAGAGAATAAATCCTCTTAGTTTAAGAGAAACATGAAGTTGTCAGTTGTGTCTATTTCTAATTAATAGGTCCAAGCATCCTGAAAGTTGGCACTTAAATTATTCTTAGGTGGACAATGGTTGCTTACTGGCCTCCTATCTGATGTAATCAAGAGTGTTGCTTGAAAGCCATTATCTTAGCAGGGCAAGTGTATCATTACAGTAGACCAAATACGAAGAATTCTGAAATTGATTCTCAGTCCCATTATAATTGGGCCATGCACATTTTTAAAAATTTTATCTTATTTTTTATTACCTCTTAACCAACATATTAAAGCTTGTGATTTTTATTCATTGCTCTATCTATACAGTCCTCCATAGAATGCATCAGATGCTCCCTTCAGACTTCCTTTTAAATGATTTTGATTTTACAGTGCATGGATGTTATTCTGAGAACAGAAGACATTTGGGTCTTTTGAATATAAAGGGTTGCGATTTAGTAGCTAACTACATTTTCAGGCACAGGATCTCATTAAGCAAGTTGAAATAGTGACTAGCCTAGAATCAGATAATGCTTTTATGAGGAAATAAATGTATGATTTCAATGATATATTGAAATAATATTTTAAACATATTTTATTTTGGTTCTGAGTAAAACGAACTAAATTCATTGGAAAAAAAGATTTATATTAGAGTAAGAAATTCTCAAGTTATGTTGAAGACAGAAGTAACCTCAGATTGAAAAGGCTAATGAACTCTCCTTTTTCTTCTCTCTCTTTCTCCCTCCCGCCTATCCCCCCTCTCCCTCTTCCTCTCTCTTTTTTAGTATGCCGAAAAGTCACTGTTGCCGACGTTGTGTTTATGGTAGACAGTTCGTCAAGCATTGGTCTGGAGAATTTTCAGAAGGTGAAAAGTTTCCTCTACACCCTGATTTCCAGTCTTTTTGTTGGTCATGACCGGGTCAGAATTGGACTGATCCAGTATAGTGATGAGATTTTTCCCGAATTTCATCTAAAGCAATATTCTTTGAAAAATGATATTCTAGAACATATAAAAAAATTGACCTTACAGAAAGGAAGCACTTACACAGGTGCTGCTTTGGATTTTATCAAGGATGAATACTTCACTGATTCTGCTGGGAGCAGAATGCAAGAAAATATCCCCCAAGTACTGATCCTACTCACAGATGGGGAATCACATGATGAAGTTAAAGTTCCAGCCCACAAATTAAAAAATGAAGGAATTTTAATTTATGTAGTGGGGATTGGCATCCATAACACCTCTGAGCTTATGAATATTGCAAACCAACCTTTTAATAAGTTTCTGTTTAATATTGATAATTTTGATATTCTTCAAGATCTTACCAACAGCCTTCTTGAAACAATGTGTTTGGCTTTGGAGAGCCAGATTAAAGGTAATTAAATGGCATCTGCTAGTAATGTAAGATTTCAGGAGGTATTTTTATTCTTTTATTACTGTGGTAATTTATACAGTTTTCTTTTTGTGCAAATGGTGCAATTTTCCTTTTGTGTTGTGATTTCTATGATACCATGTTTAATTTGGAAAACTTTGCAGACTTTACTGTACTTGGAAAATCAAAGAATTTTAAAAAGTTGCATTTGCACAGAAAAAAATCTTTAAAATCTTTAAAATTTAGAGTTAAGTTCTGCAGACATTTGAATGCATTTTTGCCACCTCTTTTGCCAAAGACATAAAAAGGATCTTTCCCTCTCTTTGTGTGTAGTTAGTTTTGCTGTTAAATATGTATGCTCTGAGACTCACGAAACAGAAAATAAAGGCAATATAGGCATCACAGATTCTCTTTTTATAACTAATAATGTTACTTTTTTTCATTCCCACTCTACAAGACAGAAGTTACAGGAGGAAGTTATAAAACTATGTAACAGCTGCCTAAACCTTACATGATTGTTTTCCAAGTGTAATTTTCCTCTTGCAAGTTTTATTGAGATGAATGAATTTATAAGAATTTCAGCAATTAAACTATTTTCAATGAAAGAGCATGGTGATCAAACCAATATTTGCTGTTTGCTTCTGATATGATATAGTGCTAGAAATCTTTTAATAGGAATTAAGCTTTGTTATTGGCTTCTGCTTATATTATTGTACACTGTCAGAGATAAGTTGCTAGGAACTAATTCTAGCTTATTGTAGCCTCAATATTGGTTGGCATTAGTGCAAAGTTTGTTATCTTGCTTCTGTGTCTCACTTCTATTCTTGGCTTCCAAGCTAGGCACATCCTAGCCGATGCTGAATGAAAGTTGTGTTTTATTATTTTTCTTTTGTTCACTAATTGTTTGTTTTTGACCTTGCACTTCCCCTCCCCTGTGGTTGTAAGCCGCCCTGAGTCCCCTCAGGGAAAAGGGCGGCATATAAATCCCAATAAACCTCTAAACCTCTAAATCCTTGAAAATATAGAAGAAACTGTTACCCGGGAATATCAGGCCTAATAGATAAAGGAACCAGAGTAGGGAGTTTTCTTGCATCATAAATTCTGAATCCTGAAAACATTCTGCTGGAATGCTCCATAGATAAGGTGGACAGAGACAGAGCCTGAACAAAGAACGCTTTAAAGATCATGTTGGTAATGAAACTGTGTTTCTGATTGGGTAACCTTTGCTTCTAATGGCATAAAATGTATATAATACTCTGAGCCACTATAGCAGGAGTGTAGCTATTCCTTACATGCATTTTGTCTCTATGTTTTGGATAAAGTTTTGTCACCCAGCCTTTTTATGTTGGCCATAAATAAAAAAAACCTGTTTTTTTTGCAAGCTCATCTTGAGTCTCACTCTCTTTGGCATCTCAGTAGCTCAGGGAAACTTCTGGGACCTTCTGGCACCCAACGTGGGGCTCAAAGGCATTGTTCTTTCAATGTGGCTGCATTCAGCTCCTCACTAGCTGGAATCCTTTGAAGTTCAGTGCCCTTCACTATGGCAAATGGAAGAAACCAGCTGTGACCAGCAGCAAAGTCAAAAACGCTCCTAGAAAATTTTATCCAGTGATTTTGACCTGATCATTTGCTGGCAGGCTCCAATTCTGCTTACCCTGAACCCCTAACCAAAGAGGCTTGCACACGGTTGTGGAATTGTGCCCTCTAGGTGAATAGAAATCCCTTATTTTGGAGGGTAGAGAGGAGCATTGCCATGTGTGTGTGATTGAAACATGGGGAATTCCTATTAGAGGTTTGCCTGTGAGGTGAATGGAGATTGGCTCTGGGTTTCTGTTTCTCCAAGAGGCGATCAGCTGAAAAAATTGCTTTGAAAAGAGTGTGACTGTTGGAATAATTGCCAAGTCCTGCACTGAAGAAAGGCCCAAGAAATCCCTTAGAAAGAGGGATTCTTTTGGCCAGGATTCCAGATACAAGGGAGAGCTTCTGATCATACCCCACACTGAAAAAAAGGTCCAAGAAATCCCTAGACAAGGGACGGTCTGATCAGGCTCCACACTGAAAGCCAGGTCCAAGAAATCCTTTAGGAATTGGGCAACAAGGCTAGTAATCTGTCTAAAACTGATGATCTAGCAAAGAGATTAGAGCTGTGTCCTCCATTGGGCTGCATGTTACCCACTGGGACATATTATGTATGAAAGAAAGTTTCTATATATCTTGATCTTTAAAATAGGCCAGTGTCTGCTGGGAGATTGAAGGTAGATAGAGAAGAGTTTGGATCTTTAAAAAATAAGCCAGTGCCTGCTGGAAGATTTAAGCTAGAAAGAGAAGAGACAGATAATAATCCAGTGCTTAAGGAGATAGAACAATGGGGAAAATATTTAAAAGTTGGGAAGCCCCTCCCTACAGTAAAATGATTCAGAAGTTGGGTCTGACCAAAGAAGATATGGTTAATTTAATGCTGTCATGTGTGGTAGGAATACTCAGGAATCCCATGTTTCCCCGAAAGTAAGACAGGGTCTTATTTTCTTTTGACCCCCGAAATATTGCTTTGGCCTTATTATTGGGGGAGGGCTTATTATTTTCTGGCAGGTTAGGCAGGCAAGAAGTGAGATGTGCATCTTACCTTTCCAGCTCCATCGCATTCCTCGCCATTGTGTCCAGGGAAGCACCTTGTAAAAAAAAACCTTCTCGCGAGTTCAATCAAACTTGTTCAATTCATGCCCCATTCCTTCCCATGCAAAAAGGGCCCACCACAAAAAGAACAGCAGGCCAGCAATGCACCTTGCGCCCCATTCCAGGGAAGCACCTTGTAAAAAATACCTCATGAGAGAAGTTTGATTGAACTCGTGAGGTTTTTCTTTACAAGGTGCTTCCCTGGACCAAAAAGCAAGGAATGCAATGGAGCTGCAAGTCTCTAGGACACATGCTTTGCTTCTCCCCTGCCCTATCTGCCACCCCCTCTCACTAAAGTGGGGAAGGGAAGCAGCCAGGCAGCTGTTGCAATTGGGGCGGGGTGGGAGGTGTTCTTTTTTGTGCAGGAAGGAATGGGGCGCAAGGCGTGTTGCTGGCCTGCTGCTCTTTTTGCGGCGGGCCTTTTTGTGAGGGAAGGAATGGGGGCGAGATGCGTTGCTTTTCCAGGGAGGGAATAGGGCTTGAGGTATACATTGCTGTGTCAGGGAGAGAACGGGGTATGAGGCCTGTTGCTTTGCCAGGGAGGGGAAGGGGTGTGAGGTGTATTGGTGGCCTGCCGCTCTTTTTGCGGCAGGGCCTCTTTTTGCCCGGCCATCAGCTGTACTGGTAAGGATGTGTGGGGTGCAGGGGCATGTCCCCCCTCCCCCCTCCGGCCTCACCTCATCTCGGTTGTTTGCATGTAAAGCAATCAGTGGAAATGGTGAGGACCGCTGCACATGCGTTTAAATAGTGGGGAGGCTTATTTTCAGGGGGGCTTATTTTAGTGCATGCCCTGAAAAGCCCGATTGGGCTTATTATCAGGACATGTCTTATTTTCAGGGAAACATTGTAGAAGAAAACAAATACTTCAGTGTTGGAAAGATCTCTAGAATTTACTATTCTCAAAAGAGATAGAAAACTCTGAAAGAACTAAGAGTAAAGAAGTAAAAGTTTATTGTTCTTCCTACCTGGGGTTTAGCAGTTAATAAATGAGTAAATCCTGTTTACATGGGAAGGCTCAGATAATTTGACTTGATCAATTTGATGTGATTTATGTTACAAATTCTTGGATATGCATCTATAATAATAGTATGTAGAATTGGATGGGATTAAATTGATTGTCATATGTTTGGCCAGCTGGCAAAATAAGTAAGCTTTTCAGCTTGGGCTTGAAGCTGTCACATTTATGATTGAAACTACTCTGTGAGTTTTCCCACTGTTTGAAGAATGAGCTACAGGTTGCCCAAAGAAAACAAAATGGAGATTTAAAGGGACAAAATCTCCCCAGGTCTGGAAATGTTGTTTAATGGTATATTTCCAGACCTGGAGGGAGGCTGAGATTTTTTAATTAGAAAATGGAGTTCATTGGCTTGTGAAAAGGATCCCAGAAATAATTGTAATGATTACTTTGCATGGAAAAAGCATGAAATGGGATTTTTGTATGTGAAATAGGTTTACACAAGCAGTTTGATTGCAGTGCAAATATGAGTATATTGATGGCAAAAATTGGTGTAAATGTACTTTGATTCCCTTTCTTATAAAGAAACAGTAAGTTGCAAGGTGTTTGCTGCTGCTGCTGCTGCTGCTGCTGCTGTTGTTGTTGTTGTGAAGTAAGGCAATATCAAGTGTTTGCAAGGAAAAGAAATAGAACCAGTATATGCCTATGTGAGTTAGAGTGGAGACACTGATTATTTTGATCTTTTTTCAACCAGATGTTAAACTGATAGCAAATACTGTAAGTGTGCAGCTTTACACAACAGTCTCTTGAATCTTTATTTGTCTGATAAATAACTCTTGAAAGGAATTGTAATTAAGGGGCAGAGAGATTGGGGGGCCCATTCCATAGAAATTGGCAACTAATTAAATCCAACCAGCCTTGTGTAAGTATTAATTTGTTGGGGCTTTCTGACAAAAATAGAACTTTGAGAACATGTGTATATGGTTTAAAAAAATAGTTGCCACAGTAAAATAATAGAATTTGACTAGTCACAAATAAGTTGTAATTGTTATTTGAATTCTATTGCATCTTGCATGTCTTTTAAAAGCACACTGTTCTATTTTTTCTGCAGCATTCACAAAGCGCTATGCTGATATTGTTTTCCTTTTGGATTCCTCTAAAAGCATGGGATCTGCCAATTTTGAAAAAGTAAAAAGAATTATTTCCCAGATTGTAGAACAATTAGACATTGGCCCTAAAAAATACCAGATTGGACTTGCACAGTACAGCGAAGGAGGGAAAGTGGAATTTTTGCTGAATAGATATAAAATGAAGAAAGATATTCTTAACCACATTCAGCAGAGCACTATTTTCATGGGAGGCCCTCTGAGGACTGGTAGTGCTCTCCAATTTTTGCGAGAAGTCTATTTTGTTGACAAAGCCGGAAGCCGTCTTCGTCAAGGAACACCACAGTTTACAGTGATTTTTTCCTCTGCTAAATCTGAAGATGATGTCAAGAAACCTGCAAAAGATCTGAAAGAAATGGGAGTGAACATTGCAACAATTGGCATCTTACATTCTGATAAGAAAGAAATGAAAGTGATTGCTACCTCCCCTTTAGTTTACCAGGTTGATGACATAGAGGATCTTGATCAGGTTCAGACAACCATCATAGATATTGTGGAAGCATCAGTCCAGCAAGAGTATGAGTCTGCATTAAATGCAAATGTGCCAGCAGGTATTGTTATATCACTAAAAGAACTACACATTAAACTAGGAAGGATAGTATAATTCATTTAGCTTCTACAACAAAACACTGTTGTTGTTGTTGTTGTTGTTATACAATTGTATCACAGCAGCCAGTTGTTTTGCTGGATTTATTATTATTATTATTATTATTATTATTATTATTATTATTATTATTATTGTATATTATATGAAGTAATGAACATTATTTCCTGAATTTTTTTCAGATGAATTTACTTGAACTAGAATGTCATTAATTCTTAAAAGGACTTCAATAATCAGACCTGTGCAGAGTTCTGGATTCAAAGGGGAAAATATTTCAGTGTGTTTATGAGTGTGTATATTGCAACTGTTGGTGTTTTCTTAAACATGTCTTCCTTCCCTGGAATTTAGTCGGCAGCACGGCCTTCTTAAGTACAGGCAATAGGTGCAATGTGTATAGCATAGATAATTTCCCCCTTCATATTATGATCGTTAGACAGATCTAGTAAAAAAACATTAAGACAATTTTCAGCAATTCCAAGAACTTTGAGTCGTGATATATCATGAGACACAAGCTCTAGTTATATTGCTTATATTATGGTGTTGGGTTAAGGATAATTCCTGAATTTGAAATATTATATAAATTTTAATGTTTAGCTACGGATTCAAACCAGCAATATTTCTGATCAGCCACATTAAGATAAAACAGTGATGTCTGACTTCTCTTTAACTTATTGGGAGATAGTTTCATGGCTTTCCCCAAAGCAGAAGCACATCAGGGAATTGTTTTCACTAATGAGCTCCCATTCTGTTTTCATTATATGGTCTTCAGTATTACTTTTCTAGTATCCTCTACCTTTTTAGTAGGATTTCTAATTATTTCTCCATCTATTTGGGTCTTACTTCTTACTAAATAAATAAAAGTCAGACAGTAATGTTAAATGCACTTACCTGGGAAGAGTCTCATGCAACTTCTAAGATTGTGTTTTTATCACTTTGTTTTTACTAACTTTTATCTACTTATTTTGTTCATAGTTTGCTCCACTGCCTCATGGGCAGACATTGTGTTTCTTGTGGATGAATCAACTCGCATTGGTCAAAAGAATTTTCAACTGATCAGGACTTTCCTACTCAAAATAATCAATGCTCTGGAAATTGCCTCAGATAATGTACGAGTTGCCTTGGTACTTTACAGTGATAAACCAAGATTAGAGTTTAGCTTGAATACATTTGAAGACAAATCAGAGGTTATGAATTATCTAAAAAGATTGCCTTATCGTGGGGGGGAAACATATATGGGTGCTGCTATAGACTTCCTAAAGAAAAAAGTTTTCACCAAGAGAGCAGGAAGCAGGAAAAATCATGGAGTGCAGCAGTTGGCTGTAGTGATCACAGATGGTCAGTCTCTAGATGATTTCACTGTTCCTGCATCTAAGCTTCGCCGGGCAGGTGTTACACTTTATGTCGTGGGTATCCAAAACATTTCTGCGAGCAGCCAACTGTACAAAATTGCTTCTCATCCCCCAAGGAAACATGTTACAACCATGGAATATTTCTTGCAACTATCAAACATGGAATATGTTATAAAAAAACAACTTTGTAGTGAAATAGTTTCACAAATGTTTGCAATTCCAGTGCGGTCTCGTGCCCTGAAGGAAGGTAAGAGAGTCATATCTTGATCAATCCCAAATCCTATTTCAATAAACTTGGGAAAACTAGATGTGAGTGACGGTTTTTTGGACTTGCCATATCTGGATATGCACACATATCCTCATTTCTTCTCTTTCTTTCTTTCCTGGGCAGCTAGTAAAGGAGAGAAATAAGGCAAGGGATGGATGACATCAAATAAAAGATAGTTGAATCAAGGTGGGGGAGGTTGCCGTCATCAACCTACTCTTATTCTGATTCTATTCACACCGTTCAACTTTCTGCTACTTATTCCTTTCCTTCCCCCAAAAAAGTATTCAGCATGATCTTCACTTGTTAGAATTCTCTTCCAGAATATAAACTGCCACATCTAGAATTCTTAGCCATTATAATAGAATTGAAATTGAAAATACTGAGTGTTGTTTATTGCATAATCTGGAAGGCCCTCATCTTGAAGAAAACTATATTAAGGAAAAGCAAAAGCCTCTATTATGTGTGGGATAAGCAATATGCTGGCCCCTGCAAACAGGAAATTTGATGTCCAGTTCATGATAATGACTGGAAAAGAAATTACAGCATAGCTTTGTTTTACAGCCAGCAAAGATGCTTGTGGTGGCTGTGTTCAAAAGCATCCTTGACTTATATTATGGTGTTGGGTTAAGGATAATTCCTGAATTTGAAATATTATATAAATTTTAATGTTTAGCTACGGATTCAAACCAGCAATATTTCT